AAAACAAATACTAAAATGGCCCAAAACCTAAAAAAATGCCCCCCCCCCCCTCCTTTGTTCAGTAATGCCATTTATCGGTGCAGTATTACCAGATCGATGTGAATAAGTTTAAGAAAAAGATCCCAAAAACTGTGGTGAATTTGACCTGTGTTCAAATGAATTATTCATGAATAACCTAAACGCAGTAGCAGACAGCGGGTTCATCCAGTTTCCATAGACAACGGTAATCCAAGTTCATGTGCACAGCACTCAACATTTTTCGAGAGCAAGTCAGGTATTTGATTATTTCGTACAATCGAGCTTACTCATAGCATGACATTTGAGATCCTTAGATCACGTTGAAGAACATTTACGAAATAATTAAGACTACCCCCCTCTTTTGGGGCATCCTGTAGAAATGCTGTGAAATAAAAACTAAATGTTGCTAGGGCTTCGCATTTTCCGAACTGATTGGAAACTCAATGGCGCACTTTTTCGTTTTTGTGTCAAGTTTTCAGCTATTGTCGTTCACCAGTTCTTCAGAAAACTCAGTTTTTCATTGTGCCCCATTACGACCCCTTAAATTTCACCCGATCGAGTTCAAAATTTTACCATAGATACTTAAGGTCATTCCGCAGGGGTCATTTTTTGAAATTTTATTTTAGACTTTTCTTTACCGAGTTATAAGATTTTTAAATTGAAAAACTTGGTTTTTGAGACGTTTTTTAGTATTTTTCCTATAACCCGACCAGGAAATGTCTCAAAAAAATTCCCAAAAATTCCCCCTGCGGAATGACCTTAAGTATCTATGGTAAAATTTTGAACTCGACCGGAGGAAATTTAAGGGGAGTCGTAATGGGGCACAATGGAAAACTGAGTTTTCTGAAGAACTGGTGAACGACAATTGCTAAAAACTTGACACAAAAACGAAAAAGTGCGTCATTGAGTTTCCAATCAGTTCTGAAAATGCGAAGCCCTAGCGACTTTTAGTTTTTATTTCACAACATGTCTACAGGATGCCCCAAAAGAGGGGGTGTGAGCGTCGTTTAAGAGACGTCCCAACTTCTGCAATGGTTTGACTAACTTCTACGACTTAACTTAAGTATATTTAAGTTAACTTTATTTTATTTTATTTTCGGTTTAAGATTTTCTGCTCTTTTTCTTTTACAAAAAGGAAAACTTAAAAACTAACTCGATCAAATAACTTTTTCTTGTCTGTCTACTCGTTAATTGGTAATCAATTAATCAATTAGATGTTAACTTAATATAAGATTTTAAAATTATTAACAAATTTCGAAAGAAAAGGTTAGAAGTCAGTTTTTGTAGCCGAGAAACAGTATATTATATTCAATTCACGAACATTGTCAATAATATTAATCACCGGTAGGAAATTAGTATAATTGACGTTGTCGAGTGAACGAATTTTCTTTCTTTCGTATCCCAGCGTGTATATTTTTAGAATACGAAAGTCGGAGATGATGTAATTTTGAAAAACTGATTTTATCAACAACTGTGGCGTACAATTTAAACAGTTGTGAAATACGCAGAGAAAACTAACTGCAGCCGTTTTACATATTTTTATGTGCTACTCTCTTTTTACTAGTTATAACTCCGAACCCAACAGCTGTAGTTCGAAGATTACAATAAAGGAATAGTAACGGGCTTCGAGACCGTTACAGGGGGGTATCCTTAAGCGTCGTATCGCTAGAATGGAAACTTATATGTATGCAAGACCTCCATGAAAAAACTGTGTAGGTTTTCGTGTCTAAAGTCTTTCTTTGATGAATGGATAATACTAATAATTAATCAATTCTGTCTTCATAAAATGATATGTGTAAACCAATCGAATGGATGTGATTTCAACAACTGCAGCGTTTTGAATTTTATAAACAGCACTTAGAAAGTTAAGTGTGTTTTATCCTATATGCATCACAACATTCTATTCCTAGTTCTTTTTCAATCGATAATAACCCTATATGTTTCCTGTTAGAATTAAAAGCATCACTTAAAATAAAGAATGTTCGAAAAAAACGATTGTGCAACATTTTCTAGTTTTTCTTTCACTCTAGTCATATGCGCGTGACAATAAAACATCGTGGTGACTAATCAAACAATATAACCATGCAAACGCAGCGAGGAATGTAATTAGTCTCGTAT